CTCTCTCTCTCTCTCTCTCTCTCTCTCTCTCTCTCTCTCTCTCTCGAAATACTAGAATCGCAGGAAAGTGTCGAATGCGAAAGTTTAAGTTCAATAATACGCTCGAGTACATAATTAACCGATCGCTTTCAATTTCGTGTTTACCTCATTTCGTTGCGATACGCTGCGGCGACAATAAATATCACGGTAAAAGCGGCTTCTCTGGCACGAAAGGGTTAGATGAAAATGCAACTCGTCATTTCGCGGCAATGTTCATTCAACTACGGTTCGCGCGATGTTAACGTGTGAATCGAACGACACTGACCGAATTCGAATACAAGTAGTGTTTATACGCGAGATGTTGTCACAAGTGTTTGCGGTGATCGAACAGCTTGCTCCACTTTGACCGTTTGCATTTTTGCACATCGGCGACCATCGGTTTAACTACTGACCAATCCACGTCACTGCGCGCGCACTTGTCAGAATTGCGCGCCGAAAACACGTCACCTTCGATAAAACGATATAAAGACCCGCCTAACGACTATGGCGTGCCTAACGATAGCAATGACCATTTTCGGGAAAACATTCTCGTTTTCTCGTAAAGCACATGCTGTATTGTCCCTCTCACGACACTACCAGATACATTCAACGCGAACGCTGCTCATTTCTCGACGTCGTTAATCTTTCTTCCGGATTCGCGAGTATAAAATCACGCTAGTCGATCAGTCCAATCGACATTAATCGATCGATTCGACGCCGTGAATCAATCAGTAGAATCGAGAACCGACTTCATATACAATTTCAGACTCGGTCGAATTCGAACAGATAGCTAAAAGATGGATCGTCGAGATGTGAGATTTAGGTTAGCATCCAACAAAGTCAAAACAAGACGCCCCGATCTCTCCGAGACATACCGCGAGACGTGCGACGACTGCTCGAGAACATCAACCTTACCGGTTATCGCACGAAACGACCATCAAGGTTAACCGGCAATCCGAGAAACTGTTGTGAGAGAGCGTCAGCGCGAGCACACGTGCTGGCGTCTTGTAAATAGCACCGCATTCGGACGCGATCAGCCGCGGCATCGGCGTCTGGACGGCCGCGGGGTGTCGCACGGAATGTACGATTACGTCGCGCACACGACCATCGCGTCGGGAAACAAGGAAAAATCATTACACACTCAATTATACTCACTTTTCCAACGACAAACCGCCACCCAGCTGTAACACGTGCTGTCACCACGATCACTGCGAGACTGTGGCGACGCGCTGCTGTTACGTGAACTTTTACGACTGGTCGTGGTTGTTCACGTTCGACCAATCAGATTCCTGTCTTAACTGCGCTCGGTTTTGCGAAATGCAGGTGGCTGTTCGTTTCTTACGGTGGAAATCCTTCGGCATTTCTCACATTTTTATGCCGTTACGAGTATTAATCAATCAAGTTCGTAATAAATGCTGGATTTCCCGCGAGAACTACAATTGATATTATCATAATATACTATTATACATACAAAATAAAACGCTATTCTTTGATTATTCATCGCGCAATTTAGTCAATTTTACTTGGTAATAATATTTTACCTTTGTTAACCTATATGGCGATATATGTCTTAAGTTTGATCTTTTCCTACTGATTCTCCATATTTAACCAATTAGATTTCTACTTTGTACCTACACACAGCTGCAGCGTTACTTTGTCATCTATTATATTATTTCTCAAGTGTTTAGTTGTTCACTTATTGCACTTATTAAGAGAGAATATATGCAAAACATAAATGATTGTGAAGTCTTAATTAAAATAAACATAAATATTTACCTGGCGTCATCTAACGTTGCCGAGTAAAAGCTCGTCAGCCAAGAGGCATGGATCCTGGATAAAAAAAGTTTGAGTCTCGGCTGAATAACGCTTTAAGGCCAAATCACACTAACGATTGGAAATAGATGATTGACGATTGAAGATTGGAACTTGACCAATTGGAACAAAGCAAACCAAGGCTGAAACTTGTTGATTCGTTAAAATCTAATCTTTAATTATCAATCGTCAATCGCCAATCGCTAGTGTGATTTGGTCTTTAGGTTCAATTCCACAATTTACTTTAACTGGAGTTTAACTCGTTAAAGATCTATGTTCGTTTCTACCAACGTTGGTTAATTCAACCTGCTGATTATTTCAATCGCTTTCGTCAATTCTAACTGATTATTGTTTGTGATTAGAACATTCTTTTAGATTCTTCATAGATCCCGGAGTATTTACCAATCAAGAGTGATAATGATTAAACGCTCCTTGAACTGCTCTTTCCGCTGAATGTAACCAATGGAATATCTGAAGGCGAATTTTATTTTTGTAAAGAGGGAAGTACATACTTTTGCATAAAAGCATAATATACAACGCGTTAAAAAACTGACCAATCAGAATTCTTCATTTTACACCCATTTTTGGCGATTCGTGTCTATGTTAAGCGCATAATTGCGTAATTGAAAACATGGACTGCCCATGTTCATAACATTAATACACATTGACTAATAGCGTGTTCGACTGGCCCTGGTTCCGAGAGCGATTAATGACGTCATAAGTCTCTACTACCCAATCATAAAGCTTATAAGTACTTTGCCAATAAACGTAGGCTGAATAATCCAGAATGGTTTAACCCAGAGCCAGTCGAACATGCTATAAGTTTACACGGCAACTTAAAACCGGTTTAGTAACTACCGTAGTTAATAAACTCTTGAATCCAATTGGAGTATATTTCCAGATCTAAAAGAATATACCAATCGGATGCGAGAGTTTACTAAATACGGTTGTTACTAAACCGGTTTTAAGCTACCGTGTAAACTTAGTCATTGTGATCCAAGAGACGATGCAGAGCGAAATACGCACACTTCACGTCACTTTTGAAAATACACCTTTGCAAACGCGAAAATTACTTTAAAAAACTATAAAAAATTATTGCAGAATGTGCTCTAGAGAGTCGATTATGTATCTCAAAACAGTGAAAATTACAAGTGAGCAAATTCACTAGGCGTTGACCAATGAAGTTACAAATATTCTAGTAAATTTTCTCACTTTTGTCATTTTTACTCCTTTTTCAGATACATAAGTTGCGTTCGGCATTGTAAATCGAAGACATCGGATTGCTCTTTTACCTCGAAAATGCACAGAAGTGAGAGAGATACGAGATCTAGTATCTTTTTCATTTCTATGCATCTTCGAGATGAAAGAGCAATCCGACGTCTTCAATTTACAATGCCGAACGCAGTTAAATCGACTCCTAGATGCTAACACTATGACTGATATTCATAGTTGGATCTAATATTAAGAATGTCTTAAGTTAATCTTTAGATACTGAGTAACTAATAAAATAATACAAACATCCCAGACAGCACAAAGACGTTTTAAAAACGTATTAAAAACGTATGTACTCGACGTTGTGTACGTATTTAAAACGTCCATTTCAGATCCACAAACGTTTTTAGAACATTTTAAAAACATCTGTTGTTACTTGGGAGCGTCCCGATTGACCACGGTACGATTGGACACAACCAACCGATGAAAAGAATTATCTAGTGAATTACTAGGTCCAACCAATCATTACAATCTGTGTCCAATCGTATCGTGGTCAATCGGGTCCCACCCTTGTTACTTTATGCCGAATAAAATGGGACGATTTGATTGGCTTAATGGGCCTTCCACACTAGACGCGCGATATCCAATAGGAGAACAGCTTTCCAATGGAGAATTGAATTCTCTATTTAAGGCCCGTAATGGCTCCTGCACACAGGACGCGGTAATGCTTGCTCCGTAATAACCTTCTAGCTCTTACGGAAAACAACATATTGATTGGCTGTCGCACAGACTTCCGTCCCGCAGCAAGCATTACCGCGTCCTGTGTGTAGGAGCCATAACTCGGACGACGAGACGCGTGACGCGCTAAGTGGAAACTTACGGCACTCTAAAGCCTGTATCAGACTACCGACTGCACAGGCCGACCCGACTGCCGACTACGACTGCCGACTCTCAATGGACCAATCACAGTAAGGTGTGACTCGGTGTCTTATTGTGATTGGTCCATTGAGAGTCGGCAGTCGGGTCGGCCTGTGCAGTTGGTAGTCTGATAAGGACTTAACGAACGTAATAAAGGCGCACTTTGTTAGATGGCGTCTCGAAAATGCGCCTAGCTCTAGCCATTGACTGCATTCAGACTAGCCAATGGCAGAGAAAGCTGCTTTGTAATCTTTGACTATAGGTTTGTTCGAGTTGCTTGTACTTTTCACACTTTTACACCTAATGCTCGTTGCACACTAGTGCATCTCAAACAACATAAATTTTCCAAAATACATTCTGAAGATATTTTCAGGACGGAGGGACGTCAGAGTATTCTTAGGACGTTCTTTGAAGGTGTGAATTGTTTGAAAATAGCTAATGTCACGTCCGACCGACCAAGCTGCCAGTCAGTGATAATTTTTTGTCCAAATAATCCTTTACCTGAGACACTCCAGGTACGAAACCTTTCTTTCCCAAAAGGAAGACATCACTATCATTTAGACCACCTCCTAAAGGCGGGATCACAAAAACTCAGTAGCAGTAGAGTAGTGACCAGCGTAGTAGTCAGTCAGAGTCGGGTGCCGGGATCAGGAGCGGTGCACTTGGACACGGTGCATTTGGACACAGCCAATCACAGCACCGTGTGATTAGAGACATTTGTAGGGTCCCTTGGAACAGCGACTTGTGATTGGACTGTGTCCAATTGCCCCGTGTCCAACTGATATACACCCGCCGGGATCGGAAATCCAAAGATAGTCCTCACCTCCAAATCCCATTTCTCTAATTCACTAATTCTAAACTTTAGTTCCCTCTAATTCTTAATCAATTAACTTTAGGTTATCTTTAACATTCTTAAACATTTACGAGCGTTTTATTTTAATACATAATTCTTTAATTTGTTAAACAGTTCATTTTAGTTATTTCGTCATTTCCGTTATTCTAGCCATACTTAAGATATCTTTGTGAACATATTATATATCAAGAATTATACAACATTATATATATATATATATATATATATATATATATATATATATATATATATATTATCTGTAGTAATTCTATTTCTACTCCCTCCCATTGGAACATCTTTATACGGCACATTTTCTCCTACGCCTAAGGGTGCCGTCCCATTGAGCACGGATCGGAACGCCGGATCGGATTTCTTACTATAATGAGCGTTCCGTTCTCTAGTTCCGTTCCGTAAAAGTTTCCTCTA